GATGAATTTCGGCTCAGAAATAGTTTTCCCTCAAATTTCTACCATGAATTGCCCTATCATAGTAAGTAATGAAAATCGACTTTGTTTTTCAAAATTCGTTAAATTAATTTTTTTTCAGCCTATTTTTACAGGTCCACCGTCTTCGCTAAATTTTCATTTTTTCACGATAGGAAATCGAACAATTTGAGAACAGCATAACTCACAAAATATAGAACGCAGGCCCTAAATATTTTTAGCCATTCTTTTAGATGTATCTGTGCACTAAAAAGTAGCAAAATTTTGAATATCAAATATAAGGGAAAAATAATACACTATACGAAGCGAACCCCATTATTCGGCTATTTGAAATCACGGCGAAGTATACTTTACAAAGTAGCTTTTATCTGCCAAGTCCAACACAGTTTGCTTAAAATTTTTAATGAATTCTACTAACCTAAGGTTGGTTAACAAGAACCCATAAAAACATTTTGCGCTTTTGAGCTATATTCTGTACAGCAGGCGCGTAGTTTTCGTGTTTTTCAGTAACTTGCCGTTAAAATATGCAAATTTGGCATCCAAAAAAAATCAATTTATTGATATATTTTTCATAAAGACTTAAAGCATTTATGGTTAATACTCTAAATCTAACAATTTTCGGTATTTTAATCCGCGTTACGAATTAAAACTGCAGCTGATTCCTTCCTCAGCGAGCTAGATGATGTGTTTTGACGCTTATGTAAATTTCATATTGATTACGGTTAGTCCAAAATGAGATTACAATACTTTATATCCTTTTAATAGCCCCAAACGAATATTTAAACCTTGTCAATATACATAAATAAATGTATGAATAATTTAATTAATAAAGTTTGAAAAAGTTAAAAGTGAAATTGAATTTTTGTCGCTTCAAAACACATGTCAAAACACACGTCAAAGCCTTTAACGGACAGCCTTTATGCACTAGTTAATTAAAACCCCCGTCCTCCGCCCCCGGGGAATAGCGGGGAATTTAAGGTTGGAGTGGTGTTAAAATGTTTCCCTAGGTATATTGTTAAAATCCCCGCTAATGTTGCACCGCTATTTTGGTCCGAGTAGTAATTTGACAGTTTTAGATTCACGTTTACTGCAAACGCCAAACGTCAAATTGGCTTTTATGCTTTGTCTCAAAATTTCAAACAAACGTAAAAACGCTTCGAAAGGAATAGTGATGTGCTTATGCACGAAARAGTGATCTATTTTATACACAATCGCGAAAGGAGGGAGCGTTAATACAGAAAAACAGTGGTCAAGTGATCAGTTTTGGCGCTCGCCGTAAACGCGTCATCTAAAACTCTCTAATAACAAAACGACCACCTTTCCATCAAATTCTCTGTGATACACAGGGTTTAGTTTTTGGACAATCCTGTGTACTCATTTGCGTAATACATGAGCCTAACTCGACGGAGAAAAAATGTGTAATAAGGTTCTTTAAAAAAAGTTTTCATGCAAGGAAAAATAAGCAAACATAAAACAGGATTAAAGACCAATGCTTTCAGGGTATTTCTCAATATGCTCGAGTTTCCAGCCTCATACATGTTCAAACGGGCATTGAAATCCCAACGCTCTTTGCCCCGCTTCGAAAAATCCCGACCCCCCGGGGTAATGTTGCACGTTAAAAAAAAACGCTTCACGTTTTCCTTTCAGCGCCCTGCTAGCCTCGGGGGGCGGGGGTTTCAATTGACTAGTGCATTATTTGTATCAAAAGATTCCGCACTAAGATAAGAGTCTGTATGTGTGTTAAAATATCAGAAGAGAGAGAAATTAGATGTCATGCTTGTTAAAGTACTCAGCAATATTTGCTAAATGCGGTGATTCGAGAGGGATTTCAGGACTTTTTCCTATTTATCAATGTAGTGATAATAATCAAAACCACCTTACGTCTGTATATCTATCAAAAGATAGCGTCTTGTCGACAGAAAAACTTTAGTTTTAGCCCGAGCTGATATGTTTGATTTGCTAGATGACTCAGTCAAGCTGGAATCAATGTACTTATGTGCAAAACACCGTCATTCGCTTTGTGAATTCTGAAGAACGAGAAAGTATCACAATTGAGCGCTCCCGCAGTCCCGCAGTGATCGCAAAGCATGATGTGCGATAGTTTGCTTGCGAACTCTGTAGAACGAAAAAGTATCACAACTGAGAATAATAAAAGGTGTGTGAGTTACACTAGAAATTGAATGGTAATATTTATATTTGATGGGCTCCTGTGTAGCACTGTGTGACTACGTGACTGCGGGAGCACCAAAATAATNTGTTCTGAAAATGTTCGATTTCCTATCGTGAAAAAATGAAAATTTAGCGAAGACGGTGGACCTGTAAAAATAGGCTGAAAAAAAATTAATTTAACGAATTTTGAAAAACAAAGTCGATTTTCATTACTTACTATGATAGGGCAATTCATGGTAGAAATTTGAGGGAAAACTATTTCTGAGCCGAAATTCATCGGACCGCTTTTACAGAGACTGCCTCTTAAGATTCTTTCGGTGATTGGTGTCCAGTCGATTAATGACTCAGTCGCTCTTTTTGACATTAGTATGCCTACTCCTTCCCTATGGTTGTCATCATCCCTTCCAGAATAGATTATGGTATGTCCTTCTGCTAATTGAATTTTACCTTGTCCTACCCAGTGTGTTTCACTTATCCCCATGATGTCAATAGCTTTCCGTGACATTTCTCTTGCTGCTTGTGCTAGGTTTCCACTCCTATATAATGTTCGTACATTCCAATTTCCAACTTTCAATATGTTTTTAGGGTCCACTAAGTAATGTTTAAAGTCCTCCAATTCGGACTGGACGGGGTTTCAAGTCCGCGCAATTAGTTCCAGTCCGAGGCGTTAGCCKMGGACTSGAACTAATTGCAAGGACTTGAAATTCCGTCCAGTCCGAATTGGAGGACTTTGAAYGACTTCTCATACTCATTAATTATTCGGGAGGGGAAAAAAGCGAAGGAAATACATATAACAGAAATATATTGATTTATTGCATCTCCACCAAGTTTTTCAGTTTTCATAATTTTGAATAAAGAAGCACCGTTTGTTGTTTTCCAATTCCCGAACGGCTCTCTGAAACAAAAGCTTTTCAAATTGTCTTTGTTTGCTTTTCATGGCATTCCTAATGAGTCTAATTCATAAGTTTTATAAGTATGTTATCTTTGTCCTTCGGGTATCAATGCTTTCACTTCTTTCTTGAAGAACGGCAACAGTGTTCCTTAGATTAGTTTTCTCGATTTTCGGTTTCTGTAATAAGTTGTTTTTTTTACGGGAGCGGGTTATCAGCCCTCTGCCCAACCCCCAACCTGGAGGACCAGGGATTACACTTAGTCTGGCTTCTGTCCTTCGACCTGTTCGGCATGGGTGGCCCTACCAGGAGTACATTACTCCAGCCGACATAGCTCTAGGGGTCATTGAAACACACAAACCGCCCCACCACGATAAGGTGGTAATCCTTTGGAGCAGGGGGGGGGGGGGGGGTCATACCACCTTAATACAAGACATGTACTCCGTAGCATCTCCGCCCCCTGATGTTGGTAGTTGATTGTTTGGTCACCTAGCAACAACATTGCATATGTTTTGATATAATAACAATTTCACATCATTTTAGGGAATCGGACGTTCTCACTTTCATTTAAAGACAACAGTCAGAGAGTAACTGTTCACGTTAATTCAGTTGTAATAAGTGGTAAGTGTATAAAGGACGAGGGTTTGCTTTCTAAGGGCCGCACTGTGAACTTGTTTATAAAGTAGCCAAACCCTTATTTACTTCTTAAAATAAGAAATATATGTCCAAAGATGGACAAATTCAACGTAAATAACAACCATAATTGTAGAAAATGACAAAAACAACTTTAACTGACAATTAATATGATATTGCTATTACTTTTTCAGTTTTAAGAAGGTTTATCAACAACACTGATCATTTTTAAATCTGCTAGCTAAAACTTGTTAGGTTATCTTTTTATGAAAAATCCATTATGAAAACGAAACGTACTAATGGAAATCTAAATTCAAAGACTCGTTGATGTGGGATTGAAATTGACCAAAGATATGAATTTTTTTTCAACTATTGATTTTTTCAATTTTATCACATAAATTGAAGATGTAGAAGCTGAAAAACATCTTGATGATTTATTAGCACAAGTAATTAATAACATCAAAGTCGTTTTTGACCATAAAAACGTTACATAAGCCATTTTTGGGCCTTGGAAACCTTTCCGAGTAACAAATTCATACAAGAACAGTTATTTAGCAGAACAGACCCCGTAAGCTCCTCCTGAAAGTTTTTGTCTTTACACTTACGTCCAGATTGAGCCACCACTTGCATCTGGGTTCTTCTTTAGTGAATTTTGCGTTGCTACAGTTGATTCGACTCGCTTGTGCTTGTTTTATAACTTTTTAACTTTTTATAACTTTTTAAGGTTAATAGTTGGGAGGGGGGTATTAACGATATTATTTCTAGTATAGCAGAGGGGGGTAAGAGCTATTTTCTTATGCTACGGAGGAGGGGTTCTGACTAATTTACTGCTTGAGAAAATCTGGTTTTACGCCCCCCTCTCCCACCTTCCTGGTAATTATTGCACTTACCCTAAAAGGGATTCTTTTCGATAAAGAATTGAAGAACAAGTAGAACAAACATCAGTTGCAGCAACATGGATATCCAATTAAGTTCATTTTCCGTCATTTAACTGTCCAGACAAAAGAACCGATCATGAATGCAGATGCCTTTGAGGAAAATCAATAGGTTTTGCTACTCTAACTTTTGTAAATGTAATAACGCAGAAAATACAAAGAACATTATCTAGACATAAGATTAACCTGATAGGATGTTGAGAAAAATTACTTCCATCCGGAAGATCAAGTGAAAAGAGATAGACAGTCTGGTGTGATATATTCTATAAATTGAGGGGAGTGTGATATTGAGTCACGTACTGAAAGAAATGGACATGCATAAACAAATTGCATATATTTGTGTTTACACCCGTTATTGTTCTTCGTTTTAGACATCGATCTTTATAATTTGCCACGTTTAATTACCGGAGTGTGTCTAAACGTCAGGCAGCCTGAAGTTTAGTCCCCGAACTGACTATACAAACTTGTCGAACGGTATATTTCCGGTCTATTGCATTTTGTATTGAAATTACAGTTGTTCCGACGAATTTTCAAAAAATAAAAAATAAAATAAAATAAAATGAAATAAAACAAAATCGAATGACTGACGTTTAGTTATTGGACAGGTTTTAACTTCTCGCTTTGGTCTAGGCGTGTCCAAGGACATCGCTATCCCCATTCCTTATTACTATCTCTTGAATAACCAGGGAAGAATTTTACACTACTTGACTTGACAGCATTGTGGGATAAGGTAATGGGGGTTCGAGTAATCTATACTTACATGAAACATATGTTGAACAGTAGTATTCATAATATAAAAATTATGTAACACCTGATAGCGGAGCTCCAATAGCAATTTAGAAGAAAATGATTATCTAGCACTACTATTTCAAAGATAGACTTAGTAGAGTTGTGCTGTTAATTCAAATTTTGTTGACATGCAAACAGACATTATAAACATATTTATCTTAATGTTCATGAGAATTTCATACTCCTGTATTGAATGGTTGACTTCCGTAGATTTTGATCCGTTAGAAGAAGTTATTATAATTTATAAATATCAATTGATTTAAGCAAAGAATACTTAAAACTTCTCAATAAAAATAGTCTACAACAGCCTATAATCAAGCAGATTAAACGTGGCAAAAGATCGATGTTCGAACTTCACATCACAGAAAACTGTACAAAAATATTTTACAATTTATTTTACCTTTATTCTTGAGCTCCCGATAACTGAGCTCTCTGAAGTTGGGAAACTTCTAATATGATTGATGTTTTTTTTTATCGCAAGTAAGCTTAAGTTAAAACAGAAACCAACTGTGAGGCATGCAATGAAAAACTCGCCTTAGTCATTAGAGTGATATCACATAAGCAATGTTTTGCAGCAAATTAGTTTTGTGAGTAAAATAGTATGATAATGAAGTACTCACGTGACTACATGCTTTGAGAACAATGAACCACCAAATCATCACAACATGCACAACGGATTTTTGTTTTTAAGATGAAAAATCAACATTTGACAACATATAGATCTACGCGAAGTCAACTCTTTTTTCTAATTTATGTATTTGCGTATTTCCCAACCTATATGCATATTGCAATTTTTACTATTCATAACATCCAACCTAAATATTATATGGCATGCATGCAATGCGTGTCTTGTTCATATTTGTTGAAAAGATCAACACGCCTCTACTTAAATGCGCCTTCGATCGTTCAAATATATGCCAGACAAGGTCAATCGTCAATAGTTAAAAAGACCGTAGCTTCATCGCTACACTCCAGTTAAAGTACAACGTCGAAACCTATTTATGTAGAGGAACAAGAAGAGGTGCAATCAAACCAGATAAAATACGCGGCGAAAGCAACCCCGAAAAAACTTATAACAGCAGCATTTGTAACGGTTATAAGTGTAGATGGCTAGTTGAGCTCCGAGGACGACATGTGCATAAACGCACGTGCACTTCTCAACTAAATTGCACGGCGTGCACACTAAATTTAGTACATTTACGCTTCCACTATTTTTCACTAAATTTTACTAAATTTCAGTATTTTAATTTAGTGTTGCACGGATATATTGTTTGCACTCTAGGCGACGACTTTGACTAGATAGCATAGTGGTGTAAGTTAATGGAATGAGAAGCTTGGGTTTGAGGGTTGGAGTATCAGAATGATCGACAATTTTAATTTCATAAATATTACTTATTGGATGATACTGACACTGGATTTTGTTTTGCTAGGCTCTTATCAATATTGCTGCAATGGAATATACTGTCCCAATTGTCCACTGTATTTTTACCTGAACAGTACAAAGGCATTGATAGGAAACTTCACAAAAATGTCTTGCAAGCCAACGTATTTTGAATTTGTACTAAGGGATTACTACCAACTCGGAAAAGACTCCCTTGAGGTGTGTTCTGCATTTCGTATGACGTTGTGCCAATTTGTTTGGAATACTAAACAATTTTGATTTTATCATTGATCTTGTTTCATCAACCAATAAGTTATTTTATTACCAAGTGTTCGGGCCTTAGGCCCATCATCAGAGGGTTGACTCCATTAACTCTGATGATGGGCCTAAGTCCCGAAAGCTTGTTAATAAAATAACTTATTGGTTGATGAAACACGATCAATGATATCTCTAAGCCAACCAACAAACAAATATTTGATATAATTTTGATTTTATTACTCACTGACACATCAACCTAGATTGCTTTTGACTTTCCCGATGAAGACCTAAAATTGTCCAAAACAGTTGGATCGATTGAAATAAAAGGTAAAGTATATTATTTTACATCTTGTTAAACACCTAAACGTTTAAACATACTTGTGAAAGGCAAAGTTCCCACCAGGTATTTGAAAATTCTCGTAGGAGCATGTCAACTCACTAATTGTTCGACAAGTCTAATACGATAAATCTAAGGAAAGAACTGAATGGAATAGCTTACCTATCATATTGCTACTTTCAAGCAGAGTTTTGGCACTTAACACTACAGGGGCGGCGGAACCAGGGGGGCTGGGGGACTGCAGCCCCCTAGTATTTTCGAAAATTTAATTTTGTTTCACAATAAAATCTCGTTGTATTTTCCTCTAATGTAATTCATTTACATCTTATATTTACTGCAAAATGGAAGCTTGATGAATAAAAAATGATTTCTTGACCACAATATTAACTCTTCTTAGCCCCCAGGGCCAAAAACGCTCCGCCGCCCCTGCACTAATTCATTAGGGAGTTATATATATGATATCAAAGAGGCAAGATTTTGCTGTGACTCCGAGTTTCGTGCTACGCACTCATTAGACAGTATTTAATGATAAACATTCCTATAATCTAGATATATATACATGCTATAGAACAAAAGGCTAAGTGCTAGGCTATTTACATACAATACGTGATAGTTATGCTAGAAACAATAGGTGTGAAGGCAAAAATTACAAAGGAGAGTATACTATTAATTAAAACCGCGTAGGTGTGAATACAATAGGCTGTAGAGGTGTCAAGTGTTCTTCAGGTAGAATTTGTTTTCGTGTCGGCATTTAGAGATGAGTTCTGATCTTTTGTTTAGTATATTGTCGTTACTGTGTTTAATTATCATAAGTTTTTCTGTAAGGCAGAGGTCGCACCGTTTGGATATGTTGTTGCACGGCTGATAAATTGTCCATTTGATGTTGAAGTCTTGTTTTTTGTCTTTTAGTTGCCAGATGTACTTAGAAAGTTCGGTGCTGTTGATGTGTTTTCTGTGTTTAAATGTAGATTTGTGCTGCGAGAATCTTTGTTTGAATGTTCCTTCCGTCAGTCCGATATAGTTCTTGGTTGTGTTGCTGGTTGTGACTTGCGCGTTGTAGATTACACTGGAAGTTAAGCATTTGTTGTCTAGCGGGCATTGGTCTTTATTGCGGCAGTTGCATTGTTCTCCGGTGGTTGCGTTGGCGTTGTTGTCGGCGTTTGTTACTTTCATGTTGTGTTTGTTGATAACTGTTTTCATGTTGTCCATACAGCTGTAGCTGACTTTTACGTTATTTTTGTTGAAGAGGCTGTGGTATTTATGCTGGTTCGGGAAGTGCTTAGATATGAGTTTCAGGAATGTTCTGCCAATGTTCGTCTTAACGTTTTTACTGAAAGGAGGGTTGTACCATATAATGTTTCTTTGTCTGTTGCGTCGGGGGCGTGCTGGTTGATTGTCTTTGTTGTATATTAGTGTTGCAGAGTGTCCGCTGGCTTTCAGAGCAGTTTCGTAGATTGGTTTGGCCTTGTTAAATTCGTGTTCGTTGCATGAGTTGTCGGAGATGCGGCGGTTGATGGATGCTGGAAGTTGCTTTAATATGTTAGGCGGGTGGTTAGACTTTGTGTTGATGTACAGTGGTTCGTTGTTCGGCTTTCTGTAGGGGCAGTAGGTACCTTTTGTTAGGTCGAAAGT